ACATCATACAGAGCAATCACACAACATCATACAGAGCAATCACACAACATCGTACAGAGCAATCACACAACATCATACAGAGCAATCACATAACATCGTACACAGCAGTCACAATAATTCTATTTCCCTAAACCTCTACCGATTATTCTTATTTCCATAAAACTTCACTGAATAGTCTACTAAAGAAAGAGAAGCTAAATTTATTATTGCGATCGCTTGATTACATGAATGAATCGTCAATAAGAATAAAAATACAAAATAAAGGAAACTCGAGGAAAGTTTCTGTTGTCTGAAGTTCTTTTTATTTTAGGCATTTCTAAGAAATTTTGGGGATTTTTCCTCGTTCGTATATTCCCTTCGATTTATCGTGAGTTGCCTACCCTATACATAAACATAGATTTGTACAATATAAAGGTCTATATATCAGCAATACTGTACTATATAATAATGACTCTAATGACTTTATACTATATAATAATGACTCTAATGCCTATATACTATATAATAATAACTCTAATGCCTATATACTACATAATAATGACTCTAATGACTATATACTATATAATAATAACTCTAATGCCTATATACTATATAATAATGACTCTAATGACTATATACTATATAATAATGACTCTAATGACTATATACTTTATAATAATAACTCTAATGCCTATATACTATATAATAATGACTCTAATGCCTAAATACTATATAATAATGACTGTTATAACCATATACTCACTCTAGGCAAGGAAAGTTCCCGTATTCTATGGATGGATGAGTTTCGCCTCGCGAGCGTCGACATGCTCAGTAGCGGCGGCCGCCCTTGCGAGTCTGAGATGGCAGCAAAAAAACGATGTTATATTTTATCACTAAACGTGAGAATATTGTAAATAAAATATATAAATGTTATATAAATTCATAGAGTTAATTATTATCACCGATGATACATAATTATAAGTATTTTTTAATTAGTTTAGGGATAACATGCGACTATAAACACGTTTTTTCTAAGTTATGTTTAACTTTCTTGTAGGTTGTTTAGTTTCGTCGACGTTTCACAATTTGAGCTGTAAACTGAACTACTGCAAATTACAGATAAAATATCAATTAATAATAGCATTTGTGGTAGATTTTCGTTAAAAAAGTGCAAAATATTTGGTCGCGTCGATCATGTCCGCTAACAATCAGACGAACATTTGTTATTAATTAAGGATTGACGCTAATATTAAACCGTCAGTGAATTTCCCTGAAGACTTTACGCTGCTCCTGTTGTTAAATCATTAATTTAAGTTTAGAGTTTAACTCAGATAAAAAAAATATTTTGTAGCGCTGAATATATTCAATTCAGCGTCAGCTTCTTCCTTTCGTTCGTTAATTCGATGCAGTGTTTTAAAATGCAACTTATTTAATTTTTGGAAACAATTCATTTCACAATCCCCTTCACAATCCCCTTCATAATCCCATTCACAATTCACTCCACAGTTCNCAGTATTTTGCAGTCTCGAACTCACAACTCACTGCTACAATTCTGCTGTGCTTAAGTACTCTGAACTGTAACCACTGGACCTAAAAAGGCAGGGGCCTTTTTAAAATTGTAAAAAATTATTTAAAATTTTTTTAAAATTTATCTTTGCTTTTAAATTTCTTTGTGTAATAAAATTCAGTTTTGTCTTTATGTTCGGTTAGCGGAGTTACCTCTAACTGACGAGGTGTCTTCGGTCAGCTGCGGGTTGATTCGAGAGCTTGTTTTTAGAATGATTTACACGCGGGTGGAGCTCTGAAGCATGTTACGCTGCTCTTTCTGCTGAAGGGTTTTGTTGAACGTATAACTGTCTAATCCTAATTAACGCTTCTAAACTGTGATCTGTGCCACGTTTACCCTGAACCACATGAACGAACGACCCGACAACAAGATGTTGGGGCCATGGAAGGGCTGAGGGCTAAGTAAGTCTGGGGGTAGAGGTAGGGTTAGAAATGAGGGAAAAAGGTGGGGAGAAGGTAGGGGATGTGTCAAGGGTAAAGCAAGCTGCAAGGAAAGAGGAGGTGACACGCTGGGAGGTGTGGCCGGCCTCGGGCTCAAAAACACATCAGTTTAGGCCTATCCTGCATGGCTGTGATAAGCTCAGTTTTACTTTCTTTGACATTTTTGCAAATAGTCATTCATCACACAGTTCTGACATTCATAGGAAACTTTGGTCTGACCGGGCAAGGCAATCAATGGGCAACTCTGTACATTTTAGGTTGATGAAGACCCATGGTTGAACTATATAAGGTTGACCCACGAGGACATCCGTCTTTCAGTTCATCTTTCTTGTTACGTCACTTAGATCTAGAAACGTAAACAATCCCGTCATACCCATGACGGATTGGTTGACTGGTTTAATCGCACATCGGTGACTGGTTGATGCCTGTGACGTCACTGAGATCAGTGACGTCACAGGCGAACAACAAACTACATCCGCAAAAATGAGCTTCTCATGGGTCAACCTTATACTGGTTCAACCATGGAATTACCACCCTCCTCCTCAAGCAGCCACAGCCTCCGTTTAAATCCACCACCAGACGCCACCTCCATTTCCTCCACCACTAGCCACCACCTCCACTTCCTCCACCACCAGCCACTACCTCCAATTCCTAGATCAACAGCCACCACCTCCATTTCCTCCATCACCAGCCACTACCTCCACTTCCTCCACCACCAGACACCACCTCCACTTCCTCCACCACCAGACACCACCTCCACTTCCTCCACCACCAGCCACCACCTCCACTTCCTCCACCACCAGCCACCACCTCCACTTCCTCCACCACCAGCCACCACCTCCACTTCCTCCACCACCAGCCACCACCTCCACTTCCTCCACCACCAGACACCACCTCCACTTCCTCCACCACCAGCCACCACCTCCACTTCCTCCACCACCAGCCACCACCTCCACTTCCTCCACCACCAGACACCACCTCCACTTCCTNAACCGTGCTCCAATAACCGTGCTCCAATAACCGTGCTCCAATAACCGTGCTCCAATAACCGTGCTCCAATAACCGTGCTCCAATAACCGAGCTCCAATAACCGTGCTCCAATAACCGTGCTCCAATAACCGAGCTCCAATAACCGTGCTCCAATAACCGTGCTCCAGATGTCATGTCATAGTCTATTTATCTTCTATTGTGCACGGAGCTGCAGTTCGCACCGTATATAGCAGCTGTAAGCATCAAGTTCGCACATCTCAACATTTCTTCTAACTTCCTATCACATCCGAAACAATTCACAGCCAAGCAGAAAAAAACAATGTCAGAATTTTGTGATATATTATGCATTGTTATAAAAGATATATGTAGCTGCGTATAACAATTTTAACAATTATTAGAATTATTTTTCATTTCAAATCATTGCCAAAAATTCTTCATGGTATAATATCGTGATTGATTTACGGTTAATATTTATGTGGGATAACTACTAAAAAATGAGACTTGAAATTTTAGAATATACATATAATATAATATCCCTTACCTTGAACGAAGCCGGAAACTTTATAGCATCCCTTACCTCTAACGAATCAGCAAACAGTCGAACTGCGAAGACTGTCGCGGTAATACGAATCTTCGACAAAATGAACGCACGAATGGATAAGATTAATAAACGAGATATTCGTGTGTCTTCAATTCTCTTAGAATAAATGACAAGATAAACAATATAGGTTTTTATTCATGTGATGGTAATTTTAAATAGGACCTAGTTAAAGCTACGAATAAACGTTAATTACCTGTAGTTAGCAAAGTTGCTAAAATAAAACTTGTAAATAAATAAGATTCATGTGAGTAAAATCTCGGTAAAAGTACAGTGCATTGAAAAGGTTCATATGGATAAGAAAATTGTATACCTTCACTATGAATCGAGTTGTATATTGTATATAAATTGTATACCTTCACTATGAATCGAGTTGAATATTGTATATAAATTGTATACCTTCACTATGAATCGAGTTGAATATTGTACATAAATTGTAAACCTTCACTATATGAATCGAGTTGAGTAATAAATCGTCTAATTTTAAACTCCTTTAAACGTTTATCGCACTGAAACTTTTAATGTGATGAGGTCACAAATTGTTTACATTTGCATATCATTTAAGTCAAGTAAATAGGCGAGGATGTATCTTTAATCTTTACTTTGGGTACCGCCGTGAGGGTACCGCCATGAGAGGGTACCGCCGTGAGGGTACCGCCGTGAGGGTACCGCCGTGAGGGTACCGCCGTGAGGGTACCGCCGTGAGGGTACCGCCGTGAGGGTACCGCCGTGAGGGTAGAGCTTGCCACATAGGGAACACTCTTCTTAAAGAGGTTAAAGAACATCGCTGATGTGATGAGTAAGGAAGTCATTGCTCGAAAGGTAGAGATCTTTTTCAGTTCATTCATGCAGCGAATTTCGTTTAAATTCAATGGCCGAATCCCTCCCAACCCTCACCATCTGCCTGCGAAGCTTATCTGCTTATGGGCATTCACTTGGATGCCTCTATTATTTTAAAAATGTGTTTTTTTTTCTTTTGAATTGTAACTAAAGCTCCTTTGTGAATTATAAACCAATCAATCAATCTATCTTCACACCACCATCATTAATACACACCCAATCCTCACGATGTCCCTCCCCTCATCATATCAACCCCAAACCACATCATGTCACCTCTGCCCCCCCCCCCGTCTCATCCCCACACTTTCACCCCGTCCCTGTCCCCCTCGTGGCACAGGTCCAAGCTGTGCACAACAGAAGCAAATTTAGCGAAACAGAAAACGGGAAACACATCAGAAAAAAACGGGAAGTCCGTGAATTCGAGGAAGCGAACTCAGCGCCGCGTGGTTCCCAGGTGAATTTCCTGCAACCCTGTCTCAGAAATCACCTTTTCCTGCAACCCTGTCTCTGCAATTACCTTTTCCTGCAACCCTGTCTCAATTACTGAATTGTTTCAACCTCAAGTTGTATCATTTTTCCTTCAATCATAACTCCTTCACTCAGTCGTAATTACACCACTCAATTGTTTTATTACATTACCCTAATTGGATACTCGACGAAAATTCCCTAAGTTCTACGTACACAAGGATGGATTGTAATATTATCAAATATAATTGAAATCAAGGCTGAAATATTTTTATTTTCATCTGCCGCTTCATTACAAGAGAGCTTTCTAAAGCCGTCGTGTTTCCTAGTGATGAACAAGACGGAGTTATTCACACATGGAATATAAGATAAATAAATTCATGATAATGCGTGGCAACGGTTACTTCAATATCTAAATTGATGATAAGATATCAATTGAAACCAAAAGAACTTTAGGAGCATCGGTGAGTGATCGAAAGACGCTGCAAAGGCTGCTTGCCGCTTTATCTGCATTATATTTAATGGAAGACACATAAACTACAAGCTAAAATTATAATACCAAGTATTAATGAGTTACATATTAGTTTTATTGAAACCTATGAATTTTTCTAAGTTACTCATTAGTTTTTTAAGTTACCTATGAGTATTGCTAAGTTGCTTATGAGTATTGCTGAACTACTTATGAGTATTGCTAAGTTACTTATGAGTATTGCTAAGTTACTTATGAGTATTGCTAAGTTACCTATGAGTATTGCTGAACTACTTATGAGTATTGCTAAGTTGCCTATGAGTTTTTCTAAGTACACTATGCAGTATAGTGTGCATTATTTAGTGCAGTTTAGTGTATAAGCATTCGTAGTATAGTGCACAGTATAGTGCACAGTATAGTGTACAGTACAGTGCACAGTACAGTGTACAGTATAGTGTACAATACAGTGTAAGGTATAGTGTACAGTATAATGTACAGTATATTGTACAGTATAGTGCACAGTACAGTGCACAGTACAGTGTCTGTCTCTTATACACATCTAGATGTGTATAAGAGACAGACATCGTACAGAGCAATCACACAACATCGTACAGAGCAATCACACAACATCATACAGAGCAATCACACAACATCGTACAGAGCAATCACACAACATC